AAGTCAACATTTGTGCACTTTCTTCTTTTACAAACACATCTTTTTGATGCTGTTTACTGCAGGTTGACCTTAATTCTGCCATGTCATTTGAGGAAGGTTGTTATGCTCAGGTATGTTTATAGCTTTATGTACTTTATGGACCCCTCCCCCAGAATATGTGCTGATCATAATCAAATACAACAAATTGTCCCCTTGGAGTCATTAAGGGAGCCTGCCCCCCCCCCCCCGAACACACACACACACCTTGTTTGCCCTTAGCTAGTAACAAAACAATCAACCAGTGTTAAACCTGTAAATGACATTTAATGACTGTATGTGGAAAAGGAAGCTCTTGGTGAAGTATCAGTATTTTGAAAGTGACTCGTGTAATTCATTGCATATAAAAGGATGCTCTATAAGCCCATGGCTCTTGTTAGCCACAGATCTGAAGCTCTTTTAAAACTAGACACTTACAACAGTAATGTTCTGGCAGTTATTCTACTCTCTGATGATCCCACTCTGCATGCATTGCATGCCTATGAGGCTACTTAGTTAACTGTTACTGACAGAAGCTTGTGAAATTCTGTTCAACAGGTTATACCAACAAAAGACAGATTAGAAGGTCTTAAAGCATTCAAGGAAAAAAGGAGTCCACAGTACTCAGGAGAATAAACAAAACAGTGCAAAAAAGTCAATTAAGTGTGAAAGAAGGGAGAATAAAGTTAAATCAGTTACAAGACAATAGACAAAAGATGAGAGTTCACCTTCTTGACGCCCACAAGGAGTCTGTTTCTGAGAGGGCAAATCAAAATATGTTGTGGCCTTTTCAACACAATTATTACCCACATGTCAGAATAATTATATTCAGTGCATAACTATTGCACACTGAGCAGTGCTTAAAAAAAGTGTCGCCCAGTCATTCAGGACAAGTAGATTTTCTGGCCAAGCAAGAAACTAAAAGTTTCATTCTCACTTGCCCAATGTGCAAGGGCTCAAGCAAGTCATCTGCCAACTAAATCACAAAAAGAACAAACTAAGGCTTGCCCAGGGCAAGCAAAATCTGATAGCTACTTGACTGTCCAAATGGCAAACTGGAATTAAGTTTTTTAGTCCTGTGAGCATAACAAATATGGGAAGTTTGAATGTTCTCATAACTTGGCAAAATCATTGTTTTTTACATCTTATTGTGACCTTTCCTGTGATAAAGCTTATTTTTGAACTAGATATATTACAAAGTTGGTGTTACTAGGATCTCAAGGATCTTCTCTTCTCTGATTTTTTCTCTTTCAAAGACAAATATTCTGATCTCCTGCTACTCATGTTTGACTTGAAGATATGGTTCACCTTCCCTACTATCTCTCCTGTAAATAATTGAAAAGAACAGTCAAGACCAGTCAGTCAAAGGTCTGGTTTGATTATGAGTTATGACCTGTGATCAAGTGCTAACCTTTCCACGTTCTTGTCTATTCTCCACGCCCTTGCACAGAAAAATTAACCATGTACATTCATTTAACACTTACAAGTCTAAGTTTAAGTTATTAACCTTGAAGCTTATAATGATGAACAAACTGCAGTAACAAATTTGGAAAAGTTAACATGTCTAGCATTAACCGGCCCTTCATTGCCTCTTTCTCCTGACTACAGGCTAACTTTCAAAATTTGTCCCATCTGTTAATTTACATTATCAATATCAAGTTTAAAATACCCTCCCCCCCNCCCCTCCCGCCACACATTTATTTGAAGTCCCGGTATCTATCCAGCATTAAATTTTATTGGAACCTAACCTCAGGTAACCAATTTCATAAATCATTAGGTGTGCTAATCATTACACTATGGTCCTTTTGAGGGGCTAAGACATTTGGCCTATCATACTCTACACTCCACTGAGTATGAAATTATGTGTGACTTGTTATGTTATTGACTGTAGACAAAGTCAGTGATATTATCTCTGTTGTACTTGTTTGTTGGAGTTCAAGTTAAATTTACTTTCATTCAGTGAAAATGAGGTACATGGATTTATGAAAAGAAATAAGTCGACCAAAATGACGAAAAAGTACTCCAATAAACTCGAGGCTCAAAATAAATGCTGGGTAAAAAATGTTAGGCTGAGTTTTAAACAAACCCTGCCAGCACTTAATCAGAGAAATATAGTACATGTACCACAAGATGTATGTCACTTGTGGCGATATTTCTTAAGATTCTCACCTGCTTTGTCCGATTCTGTTTCAAAGTCATAGTGTTTAAAGTCATGAGCATTTTGACTGAAGTAGATTATTCTGAAGACACACTTTCCATTGCTCTTTTCCTCTATTATTTCACAGCCAACTACATTCTCCATGTCAACAGATGTCTATAATCAAGAATATTGGATCCTATGAGAACTTTTCATTTCTGTTATAAGTGGATGTAATGTTATCATCCTCTCTGCAATGCTGAACTATGATGCTTGTTACCTGTCACTCAATCAACATTATCCGATCAGATCTTTCTCTGCACGCACTGCGGACCTATGATGCTAGTACAGTACTAAGTCTAACTGTGGTTGCTGTCATACAAAGTTCAATGTGGAAGAAAGGCAGGATTGTAGCCAGGAAAACACAATAACAAGCCCAGAGCTAATAAATTTTGGCCATGGCTGCTCCAAAGTTTATCCAAGTCTGAGTGGGGAAAGCTTAAGGCACTGCAAGGGAAATGTGTTGCCTAAGAACACAATGTTTAATGATCCTAGCCACTGAGTCCTGTACATGCAGGTCCAAAAATGGGTAAAGGTTAAGTCTGCATACGAGCCAAGTGGCCCGTCAGGCTGACTCCCGTCTCTGGTTTCTGTAGCATGAAGCAGCTACTGTTAGTAGCAGTATTTCTACTCCTCCCCCACCCCTCCCTCCCCTGGCAGGGATGCTTGTCAATTGCAGGGTTACCCCCAGCATTAAATTTGCTGGTACCCATTTATACACCAGGGTGGGGAGAGAGGCACTGTAAGAATAAAGTGTCTTGCCCAAAAACACAACACAATGTCTCTGGCGAGGGCTCGCACCTGGACCGCTCGATCTGGAGACAAGCGCACTAACCGTGAGGCCACCACGCTTCCAGATTAGTCACAAAAATTAGCTGGCACAATCCATTAGACAGTGTGAACACTACATTATCTTCAGTTGATAAATAATAATGTTGTATTGTCTTTCCTTATTGTATTCAATACTTACAAATTTTTGTTTTCCCCAGAATTTTTTGGCTGACTTTGGTTGACCAACTGGGTCAATTTCTATTTTCTCATGAGAAACTCCTGATTAAGATCAAATGAAAGGCAGTCAAAACTAAAATATTTAATTTACGAATTGAATTAATCACAAATGGGAAATTACTCGTACTTCCGAGGGTTGAATTAATTGACAAAAAGGCACTGTAAGGTCATAAGAATTAAAGAACTAATGATCAAGTGAAGTCTATAAGTGCTAAGGGCAAAATGCAAATTATAATATATCAAATTGCTAACAATTTTAAGGGAGAGTTAACATAAATAATAATAAAAGATGAAATACTATAAGAGCACTTTTGAATTGAGTTTCAAACGCAATTCATATTTCCTTTAGTTTTGCATTTACTACACTAAGTTATTAGCTTAAAACACTCGTGCCACTCAAAACCAAAACCAATCCTGACACATTCTAGCATGTTTGTAAACCTGTTCTATGTGTCCACCACATGCATTTGGTTGGATTAACGATTGCTTCACTGAGATGTCTGTGTCCTTTGAGACTGACCAGAGTGAACTTCATTTTCAGTTTTACAACACTAAATTGTATTTAATACTATACATACCCAGCTGTATTTCTGTTACTGTCCTCAACTTTTGTAACATGCTGACACGATAGGACTAAGGATTGAAATTGACAGACGAGTGTTTTACGTTAACAAAATGTTCCATTTTTGTCGTTAACATACATGTACACTTAACTCCTTAGTACTTAAGATAAATTTATTAAATAAATACCCCTTCAAGCCACTGACACCTAAAATTCTGGAAACACTTATTTTTTCACTTACCCTGTATTGATAATTAACGTAGAAATTAAACTGGTTATTAGCATCTCCTTCGTTCTCTGCATCATGATGACTGGGTGTGCCTGCAACACATTCAAGCCAATTAAAAGTCAGGGTAGATTAATTAATAACTAATTGTTGGGAATTCAGTGTTAACCTGGAGGTAACTGAACTACTGTAGATATTAGAAACTGAGATGATGATGGTATTATTTTGTAAGGTTGCCAATTTTGGACCATTGAGATAAAAAATGTAAATTTCTATGGTGGCTCAAAGGCTTTAAAAATTAAGAAGATTTTCATGTATTTCCAATTTCATGTCATCTGCGGACAGGTTCTTCATTTGGCAAAAAAGATTTCTTGTGTCTTTCCACCTCCCTGACACTGGTTTCATTCCAGAACTATTTTGACATGATCAGGTGACAAGCAGGTCTTTTTCAACATTTCCAACAAACATCCCTGTCACTGTTACTGGAATCTCCCTATGGATTATTAATACACATTAGTCGAGTAATATGACAGCAGTCAAATGAGGTACTTACGTCCAAATCTGACCAAACAGAATTCTCTTGTTCCCATACTTTCTAAGCTTGATTCAAGGTTAATTGGTACACCGGGCTCTGTCACCTTTTCCAGAACATATTCATTGGCTAAAAAGCAATAATGAACACAAGATAAATTTATACTATAATAAAACTGGCGAGAAAAGTTTAACACCATATTTCAATGCCACCATGACATAATTTTCAAGAGACATATCTATAATGCTAACTAGTATAATGTTACCTATTTAAGCTCCTATTGCAATGTTTTATCACCTCAAACTGCATATAATTAAAGACACCTTCAATTTTATTTTGTCACTTGAAAATGATGCCAAGGGGGACATCCTTACATGTCTTTCAATGTAAATTTAATCTCATTCAAAAGATAAAATTGGTAACCATACACTAGTAAAAGGTTATTAAGGTCTCACAGGTATTGTGTGACGACCAACCTGTTCTTATTATGCGTCTTTTCTTGACCATTTTTTCAAACACTTTTTTCATCTCCGCTTTCATACTGTCTACTTTAACTCTTGAAAAACCGTGCTGTCGTTCATGGCTAATAAAGAAAGAAAAACAAATGGAACATTTGATTTAATGACATTGTAATAATCAGCATTACCCTCGGCTGGCAGAAACAGTGAAATCACAACTAAAAGTGACTGGTTTCCAAGAATAATAATTAAAACTATCATGAAGGGCGGTAGTTTTTGCTAATTATTAACAAAAAGTACCAAGAAGCATAAAATGTGTAACAAGATCAGCCTGCTTACACTGTCACTATGATCTCAGATGAAGATTTTGAGGTTGTCGGTTTGGCTGGACTGGCATCTTTCTAGGAATCACAATCAATGATAGTAAATAATTACAAGAGTGTACAAATACATTGGCCTGCGCCACAGACACTAACAACATACTGCCTGTAACGGTTATATATCAGGAATTTTCCATCTGCGACACAGGCTATAGTATGTTAGATGCCCTGAAGCTAAAGATATCACAAACCTAAACAAAGACAGAGCAAAGTGATGCAGTGATGAACTCCAGCTGCATAGAAAGAAACTTCTGAAAATTGACATTACGCAATTGACTGAATTTTAATAATTATTTACGCAAAATAAGGGTTTACCCTCCTTTCAACTTTCCTAAGGCTATCATTAAGGGCAGTAATCTGTAACACCTGTTACAGCTGAGTATGTTTGATAGGNTTTCTATTTTCTCATGAGAAACTCCTGATTAAAATCAAATGAAAGGCAGTCAAAACTAAAATATTTAATTTAAGAATTGAATTAATCACAAATGGGAAATTACTCTTACTTCCAAGGGTTGAATTAATTCACACAAAGGCACTGTAAGATCATAAGAATTAAAGAACTAATGATCAAGTGAAGTCTGTAAGTGCTAAGGGCAAAATGCAAATTATAATATATCAAATTGCTAACAATTTTAAGGGAGAGTTAACATAAATAATAATAAAAAATGAAATACTATAAGGGCACTTTTGAATTGAGTTTCAAACGCAATTCATATTTCCTTTAGTTTTGCATTTACTACACTAAGTTACTAGCTTAAAACACTTGTGCCACTCAAAACCAAAACCAATCATGACACATTCAAGCATGTTTGTAAACCTGCTCTATGTGTCCACCACATGCATTTGGTTGGATTAACGATTGCTTCACTGAAATGTCTGTGTCCTTTGAGACTGACCAGAGTGAACTTCATTTTCGGTTTTACAACACTAAATTGTATTTAATACTATACATACCCAGCTGTATTTCTGTTACTGTCCTCAGCTTTTGTAACATGCTGACACGATAGGACTAAGGATTGAAATTGACAGACGAGTGTTTTACGTTAACAAAATGTTCCATTTTTGTCGTTAACATACATGTACACTTAACTCCTTAGTACTTAAGATAAATTTATTAAATAAATACCCCTTCAAGCCACTGACACCTAAAATTCTGGAAACACTTATTTTTTCACTTACCCTGTATTGATAATTAACATAGAAATTAAACTGGTTATTAGCATCTCCTTCGTTCTCTGCATCATGATGACTGGGCGTGCCTGCGACACATTCAAGCCAATTAAAAGTCAAGGTAGATTCATTAATAACTAATAATATTGTTGGGAATTCAGTGTTAACATGGAGGTAACTGAACTACTGTAGATATTAGAAACTGAGATGATGATGGTAATATTTTGTAAGGTTGCCAATTTTGGACCATTGAGATATAAAATGTAATTTTCTATGGTGGCTCAAAGACTTTAAAAATTAAGAGGATTTTCATGTATTTCCAATTTCATGTCACCTGCGGACAGGTTCTTCATTTGGCAAAAAAGATTTCTTGTGTCTTTCCACCTCTCTGACACTGGTTTCATTCCAGAACTATTTTGACCTGATCAGGTGACAAGCAGGTCTTTTTCAACATTTCCAACAAACATCCCTGTCACTGTTACTAGAATCTCCCTATGGATTATTAATACACAATAGTTGAGTAATATGACAGCAGTCAAATGAGGTACTTACGTCCAAATCTGACCAAACAGAATTCTCTTGTTCCCANCAACTAGCACTATTTTAATTTTTACATGACATTTGTACAGTCAAACTCCTATTAAAATGGCCACTGCTACTAGGCAGCCAGTAATCAGAGTCCGGATGAGGGCTTTTCTAGCAATCAGTTACAAGAATTTTCAAGTTGACATACATGCAAGAGCTATCAGTGGCTGTGATGCACCAAGACATTCAATAAGACCCAGTGAGCCCTAGAGAGCCGGCACTTCTTTGTTATTGCTCTCTGATGACTGCTGCATCAGAGCAGCCACCTGCTTCAGATCTTAGCCAAAACACCGACACACTCAATGATGATTACCTCTGGCAGCATCGTTAAAAATATTTTTAGTTTCTTGGTAACGCATGTTCCTTGATAAGCCTGAAATGAGAAAGTACAGTAACCTGTTAGAACTGTCCAAACATTTATAGAGTTACTAACTGTGAATCTGCAGTTAATTTATAAAAGCAAAGAACACCTGATTTCTCTTTCAATTAATTTAATATTATCAGCAATAAAGGCTATTACTGACAAAGACACACATCAACAGAATCAGTGATGAAATGAGAAGAACTGTATTGAATCTGGATTGGCCTACAATTCTGTGAAGAGAGATTCAGCAACTGTAAGGAGAGATCTATGGTGACAACATGGGAAGAAGGGAGATCTAGAGCAACCTGATCAGGGAGTGGAAGCAGATCTGAGAGAAAAAGGTGGAGAGGAGTGACTGATCAAAATTAACACTAATAGTAATTTCATTGGCCATTTTTGTCTTGGTGTTTGCCCTGAAAAAAAAAAATGAGGGGGGAGGGATATGCTTTTGAAATTCTTTAAGACAAAACTTATTTTAATTTTCAGCCAATATTGATGGGGTGCAAGGAGGGGGAGGGTGTTTGTTCGAGTACTTATGGTAGATAAAACCAGTTACCACCCAACTGAAAACTATCCATCATGTCAGTTGAGTTGTTCTCACCTCTCCTTCAAATTTGGAGTACTCCAGGAATGGATTGTTTGGTTTTCCACGAGATTCTTCCAACTGTCTGCTTAGCTGAGAAACTGTGACTGTTTTACTTTTAGATGGCTTCACCTCACGTTTGGCAAACACGCTGGACAGGTCTTCTCCTATAGAGAAACGATGATTGATTGATTGACTGACTGACTGACAGACAGACTGACTGACAGACAGAGAGACTGACTGACTGACTGACTGACTGACTGCTGATTGGCTGACTAACTGAGCAACTGACTAACTGACTGACTGACTGACTGACTGACTTGACAGTCTGACTGACTGACTGGCTGACTGGCTGACTGACTGACTGACCGACTGCCTGACTGACTGACTGACTGATGGACAGACTGATTGATTTATTCATTCATTCCTTCATCCATCCATTATTAACAATTGATGAAGATTCCTCCGGTTTTCTACTAAGTTTCAAAACTTCGGCTGTTTCACTATTAGCTGGCTTCAATTCACATTTGGCAAACATGTTGAACAGATCTCTCAGAGAAACACTGATTGATTAATTGATTGCCTGATTGATTGATTGATTGATTGATTGATTGATTGATTGATTGATTGATTGATTGATTGAATGAATGAATGAATGACTCATTCATTCATTGGCTCATTGATTGATTGATTGATTGAGTAATGAACAAACATTCAATTACAATTAATGATGAGCTAATGGATTGAATAATTTCATGATATAATTTTTTTTTAATTTACAAAATTAATAGTGCTGTTTCACATCAATATTATTTACACATTACCACAGTGTGTTCACAAAGAAATTTGTTGGGAAATTGGACCAACCAGGGCACCTATCCATATACACACCATTTAAGGCATTCTTTTGACCCTCCTTCCATGAAACTGTAGTGCATCTAACCTCTCTGTTCCTAAAGGAAGAAAAATATATCACAGTTAAACAAGAAAACAAAAGCTGATTATGCTTTGGCTAGGGTTATACATGTAGCTGAATTAACTCTTTCAGACCCACATTGAAAATGCTAATTCTCATAACTGACAGCCATTAGTTCTTTTAATCGAAGTTCTGAGAATTTGGTGATAGATCAAGACAATATCAGTTAACCAGTGATTTTCTTTTATCTTATCACCTGTCTGCTTTTATTAATATTAATTTGTATTGCAGTGAGAAATTAGAGTATGATCACCCCTGAGATATAACGAATTACCATTTACAAAGACCCTGTAACCATAACTGGGTGAAGGCTAATGTGTAAGAATTGCAACCTAAGGAATAACAAATGCTGAACTTTAACTAGCAAATAAAGCACTAATACGTGTGCTAAATACAAATCCACTTGCCATTCGACCATAGCACCTGTTACTTCATCCCCACTTGACAAAAATGTCATGTGATTTCCTCATCTAGAGGTTCAGTGTAGCTTTGATGAACTAGATCCAATCCAGGAAGGGTTGCAATATTTATGATCTGTTTCTTGTCATAATTCACTTTAATTTTAGAGTGCATTTTTAACTGGCTAATCACAAATTATATCTAGACACTTCACCTTGAGTGAACCAATCATGACTAAAAGCAAAGGCAATTAAACAGCACCATGAAGTGCGAGGAAACATTGAGTATGTGACTGATGATTGGTTTTTGATTACATTTCTGATCAGATGGCACAATGACAAGAGATTTCAGAGTCAATTGACGGAGTGGGTGGAAAAAACCCTGTGACTCTTGATCTCGTTTTAATCTTCTTTAATTGTAGAAGGAAGTGAAAAGCAATTTGCTAGGAGAATCTTGCAGTCTATCAGATGCCGCTTAGAGTCTTTTTTTCATGCACCCCTTCAATTGTTTAGTGAGGTGTTGCAAAACAAAAGCAAATTACATTTTACACTCAGGTGAACACTGCTAAACTACACATGTAGACAAGATTTTAGTGCTGGTCTGTATAATATACCACACACATACTTTTCTCGTCTATTACGATCGCCCTTTCCTTGTGATTTGGAGTTCCTGAGATCTGGGCTGACTGCGATGTCAAATGACTGAGGATAGCTTGGAAAGTCCAGGTAATCCCTAAAACCACATGTAATGAGTATGAGCAACATTACTGAGTACTTAGCCTGCAAGAGTAGATACCTTTTTCAGCCTTTCTTTCATGTGTGAAACAAAGGCTGAAAAAGGCATCTGCTCTTGCAGGCTACATTAAGAAGGGGGAGATATTGAAGAAGAACAGTTTGAATGTATTTTTGCCCTGTGGTACATTTTAAGATTGGTTTTCACTAGCAGATAAGCATAAACTAAAGCATATTAAGCAACATATGCAGATGCAGTAGGCTGCTGTTAAAAAGTGCCTTTTAAATTTAAAAGGAGAGATTCAAAACAAAAGGTGGTACTGTATTTTCGTGATTAACAGACATTTATTTCAAACTTGGCTGCACTGATGCTGCATTTATTTGACATCAGTCTGCAGTTTATTCAAGCCTGAAGTTTAATAGAGTTTTAATCAATATTTTTGAGAGCTTAAATATCTTCCATCGCTGCTTGTATGTTTATAAATGTGTGAATGGAATTACATCTCACAAATTGGAATTATCTAGAAATAGCGATATCCATAGACATAACACTCGCTCCAAAGATCATCTTAGACTTCCAACAGTAAAACGGAACTGGGGTCAACAGANGTGTATATGCTGCTTACCATTGCTTAACACACCAGAGAAAACAGACCTGATCGTGTGGCACAGAAATCGGCGAGACAAATTAATTTCTTATTCGCCTTGGCAAAGCAAGCTTCCATGATGCTTAATTTTCAAAACACAGTTTCCTTGATCTTGTAATTATACAATGTCTGGACTGTTTATAATTTTTACCTTATCGTAACTGCTTACCTATCAACAGAATACTTTCCAATAAGTCTTCTACGGTGCTTAATGGCTTTCTCATTTTCGAACTCTTCATTCATAATCACTTGTTCACACATACCTTCAGACATCAGCAAATGCAATCATTACTTTCAGCCATTCAATCAATGTCCCAAGATTATTGTTAAAACAATTGTCCAAGCCACTCATCATCTATTGTCTCTCGTTCTCATTGGAAGAATATTACACCTTCAGTGCTAGTATTTTCCCTAAATTAGCCAGCTATTTGCTTGGGACCAAGTGGAAGATCAATGTGACATTCCATTTTCATCCGCTGCCCCCCNCCCCACCCCAACCCCCCTCTCAACCTACCCACGGAGGGCAAACTTTTGCACAATGTTTACAACGGTGCAGACAAAAGTCTTTCAACCCCTCGGATGCAAACTTCAAAGGTGCTGACATAAAACACTAGGCTTTTGGAATCTGCCCTCCAAAGGGAGGGGGAATGAGGATAAAATAATGTCCCCATGTGGGTATTCGAGGGTGGTTTTTTTCCCAGTCATCCCAACCTTGCACCGTATGTCCGTGAGATATGGGTATTTGATCACCTAATATGACCCCAAGGTGAGCATTTCAAAACCGTTTTGAGCTCAGGGGAAGTGAATTTAAACAGCCAAATTTTCAAAAGTTCAAATGCCTCGAGAATTGCCTGGGAAAATGTTAAAGTTTCAAATTGATCAGTACATAACTCACCCGTGTCATCAGTGACTACACATGAATGACGAATGTGAGCAATAACAAATTCTGGATCATCTATGAATGCCATCTTCTAGCAAGTGTCGACGTTAAGCTTCAAACCTAAGCCAAGAATATTGAAGAGAAACATGAAGCTTACGTTAAATGACCAATGTCGGTATTTTGCTAACCCTCAAAACGTATCTTCGAAACGCTATCCATCAATTAAAATATTATGCTTCTTACTCGCCTTTTTCCCTTATGACGCTCTTTACAACAAGTCATTTATCTATGTTCCATCGCGTTAAAGAGCGCACTGAATCAAATCTTCCTATAAAACATTCCGCCATTTTGTTGTTTGTCCTCTCAATGGGAGCTACCGCTGACAAGCTGAGCGGTTTGGGCGGGGGAGTTGGAGAAGAGGGATGGGGGTGGGGGGAATCGCCCGGGGAAACTGAAATAGACTGCATTCTCCTCATTTCTTCAAAATTATGCGAGCTGTTCTTGACATCCCCCCTGCTCTCCCTTCCCCTCTGTTCTGTTTTACACCTAAGCAGACCATTCTGAACACAATTTAATTTTTTTTTGCAACGTTCCAATATCCCATAACCCACTGAATCTAAGTCATTAATGATTCATGGCAATTTCTTTCAATTTCTGGCTAAAAACACTGTTTTCAGTATTTCTACCTCTAAACATAAAAGAAGGTGTATTTACAATGCTCAAAGAATATTTTATTGTATATTGTGCTCTGTTAAGGATAACCTGCGATCATACCATCGCAGGTTATGCTAAGGAAGTCACATTTTATTTTTGTTCTGAAACAAAAGTATGGTAATTTTTTTCACATAATCCAATTTTGTCAATAAAATAGTTTGGGTTACAAATGCTCTGATAGAGATCAGCCTTTACTACACAAATATTATCAAAAGCTGTTGGATCTACACTGTAAAAGCTACCCTTCTTTGCTAAAAGTACGTCAACAATGCTATCTTCAGGCTCCCATGGGCGAAAATTATCATCAAACATGATGTGATGTACTGATTCATCACATGGATCAATTAAAAGGGGTTTTGCAGCTGATGAACTAAAATTTTGCGCCTTCCACCATGAGTAATCATCAGTAATTAACTGTATGCCAGTTGTGTGGCTTAAATATGCATAAATATCCCGTAAGTTTGAATATGCAGCATCTCCAGGAATTTTCAAACAAATTTGGTCTCTTGACCGCTTAATTTCTCTTGCTGAGAAAATCACGTCAATTTTTGGGCTCTGCACAGGGTCCTTACAAAAGTTACTTGCGTGGGCTTCCTGTGGGTTCTTGTCACATCTTCCTCTTAAGAAATCTCTTGCTGCTTGCAGCACGATCTGGCCATCCCTGCCAAATGTACGGAAAACAATAGACAACTCTCTGTTACTTTCAATCAAATACTCTAAAAGCTTGTAAAAGGATGGCACAATACAATGATACGTAACTCCTTCTTTGTCTTTGAAGGAAGGAAGTTCCACATTGTTACATAAGTTCACGTCCCCAGGGAATTGCAATGCCTCAATCATTTGTTCATAAAAATGCCTAAATGGTTTTCCAATCTCTTCCTCGGTAAATCTTCGAATGTGCGCTTTGAACTGATCTCTCGGCCTCCCTCTGAACTTTGCCTGTGCATAGCTATAGTAGGACATCGATTCGCTGTCCGGAGGCTTCTCGTGTAGGCTATTACTGTAGCACTTCCAAGCGCCTGTTTCGTCCACTTGACCCCAAGCCACATTCACAAGGTATTCGTTCAGAGCTCCTTCTGGTGTAACCTGTTTTGTGATAGAATCGCCGATGAAAACTGTGTCATTTACATCCAAGTGCAACACAAGTTTTCGGCAGTTGATGACGGCTTTGTGTGTCATCATCTTGGCAACAAACGGCTGTAAATCAAAAGGAACAAAAGTAAACATCACTTTCTTAACAAAATGGTATCGCCACCTGGAGCGATCGCAACTCTTCAAATGGACTTGTTACTTACACAGAAAATAACAAAATAGTACTTTAATACAGGCTACTCATCATCACGCGTCCACCATTTTGTTTCAGTAGAGTGGGGCACTGAGTACTAGAGTTCTAAGTTCTCCTTACCCTCCTACCCCTCCCGTCTGACACTGATACCCCTCTCGAAAAGAAACCTCTCTTGAGTTCCCTCCGATCTACCTATCTATGTAGCTCAGACTGTTTTTGTACGTTTGTTTGTTTGTTTATTTGTTTTTGGGTTCTCTGATCACACCCAAGGCCCAAAGGTGTCTAGGCTGTTTTCAATGGAACTAGGCTGACACGCCTAATGTAGTAAGGCCGAAATATTCTAAAGTCTATATTTTCTGAAAAAATGTTAGAGAAATCCTTAAACAGCTTTTGTTCGCTTTTTAGACTACGAGTAGTCCCTCTTTCGCTTAGTCTGTCGTGCGTGACGCGAAAGAAAACCGCGAAAAAAAAAATAGCCCGCGCGAAAGTAGCTTTTTCCTCGCGGTTTATTTACGGTCTCGCTCGACGGACTAAGCGAAAGAAAGACTACTTGTAGTCTATCGCTTTTGGAAAAACAAAAATACATCTGTCGAGAAATTTACATAAGGTGGTAAACTTGTTATTAGTTCTCGTCTGCTGGTTCAATTCAGTGATGTGCTTTGGCGCTCCTTAATTCGATTCCGCCTTGATTTAATCAGTGAACACGGGCCGAAAGGTTAAGAAACAATACGGATTCGCCCAGGGACTTTTCAAAGGAAACCTATAGCAATCTTAATCTATGTAAAAATAACATATGTATATAAATCGGGATGCGATCAGGTGTTCTTTTTTTCGCCGTTCGACCAAAAAATAATCCCCGATAGCTACAAGTATATTTAATTTTATAGTTTTAAAACCTTTTAACACTGACTTGCAACAAAATACAGAACCATATAAGGTTGAGCCACCCCTACAATAGTATGAATTTATTAGATTTGCAAATTTTCCACTAGTAGTTTTGGCTTGGTTATCGTTTTAAATACCGTCTTTGTTTGTTTCTTTTTCGTGGAAAACTAGAACGCTAACGTTTAAGCTTATTTCCGGAAATGATGCTTTAAGCCGTGTACGATTCACGTCAAAATAAACACAAATTGACGTAGAAATGAAGACGCCCCCTGAAAAAAGCATTGTCACAATCATTTACCGGATGTGGATTTCGCACCCTAATTTGGATGGAAGGACCATATATGGAGACATGTCACGGGTTAGTGCTCGCCGCGCAATGAAGTCACCACTGATTGTGAAATTTGAGTCACGGTGCTTACGATCATTTGTTCCTTGGAAAAACCGAGTCAACGGAAGTCCTGCGAAGTTAGATATAAGTGAGAACATGTTGTTAACAGCATAGTGCTTTCGCGACAGGATATAGCTTCAACGATTTCTGGTGTAAAACAGCGAAACGACCATGGGGTTTATTCGTGTAAAACTGATCGAAGTGGAACCGGCTTCGAATTGGTTGAAAGATCGGCAGCCATTCGACTCGTACTGTGCTGTACACATCAAAGAAGCGGTGATGACCGCTGCTAAGGAATTTTCGCTGGTGCAGAAAAAAAAGACAATTTACCCGGAATGGAACAAATGTTTCGACACACATTTGTACGACGGAAGAGTTATTACGATCGTGGTTTTACAAAAGCCTGGTGGAAAAGTTGTGGCGGATGTTTCTATTGGTGTCCAGTTTTTAGTCGATCAATGCAAGCGAGACGCTCATGGATTTTCCAGTGTTTGGGTAGGTCTGACACGTATTTTCGATTCATAGCCGTTTTCTTTGTGAAATATTTGATTGGTATTGGGCTTCGCATTTGCAGGAAACTGCAAATATAAGGCATAATGAATGCTTTGGAAGCATCAAGCTTGTTTTGACATGCATGCTTTCCGTGGTTCCTTTGTAACATTAAAATTAATATTGTGAATTCTGTATATTAATTTTGGTTTTGTTTGCTAATATTTTCTGCGTTTTCCCATGCTGTTCTGAGGATATTGATGTCATGACCTATTTCGGATAAGAATAAAAAGTTATTAATAAAACTTCTTAAGGCCTCCTTTTCATTCAGCGCGGTTTAAACCTGGTTAAACGCCGTTTGAGAAAATTTGCATTTGAAATGTACCTTCTTGAAGAAATGTATCATTTTGTTTTGGTTTGCATCTTAGCGAGACACACTAAGCGGGGTTTTCTATTTTTTAAAGAATATCTGACAGTTATTGATAGCCTCATTTTAAAATTTCTCGATGCCAATGTTTCCGCATTGCATGGTACGTGCATGTCCGTTTAATTTAATAGCACATCGAGTACTGTGTCACTTGAAATAATCAATTCTATTATTGGATTTGACTGCATGGCAAAACATCTGCAATGTAAATGTAATTTTGAAAATTTGAGCATCTATTCTCCGATATCAATTGAGGATTAAGCATAAGCTTTGAATCTAAAAGGTTTATGTAGGTTACGTCGGTGGAGTGTTAGTTCGATTCATATTCAATGAGTTGGTTGCCTCCGGCTTGCAACGCGACAGAAGTTTATTTTTAGCTGTTCAACATATTGTTATAATGACCCTAGTCGATGTCGTTTACTAAACAGTGCTATGGTTACAATGTTGCTTATTAAAATAATCTCAAACCTGTGAAAAGGAAGTGGTATGATCTGAATAAATATACAGTAATTATTGAAGAAGACCGAAATTTAAACTAAGAGAGTCTATATGTTATCATTAATGTCACTAACTGGTAAAATAAAGTACAGGAAATAGTAAATAAACATAATTTGTATCATTCACTTTCATTTCAATGGCGTGTAGACATCACATCAAAATTTTGATCATATCAGCAAAGCTAATGGTTATTGTTAGATGTTATCAAAATTTTGATTATCTCTCATTCATTACAATGAATTTCAATGATCTTTATTAACCGCGCGGCCATGGGCCGAGCGCGGTTCTAGGTTTACCCGGGGTTT